CAGAGGAGTGGGGTGATAGAGCCTGGGCTCACCGTGTTGTGTTGTATTGTAACCCTGATTATGGTTTAGCTGTGAAGGCCTGTCATGTCCTTATAGCTAAGGGATCTGGAGAGGCCCAACTCATTTGAGAAGCGAGTCTCTGCCAACTTTGTGCTCACCTACTAGCAGGCTTTAAGATTAATAGGGATTGTGGTTCAATCAGACTTTGGAAACAGCTAATTGCAAACAACTACTTACAGGAAATTAGGTAACTTCCTCAATTACGGTGCTTATCTTTTTTGCAGCTTAATTGTATTTTTTAAGTTATTTCTATGGTTATGTGGTGGAGCTTCATTAAATGTTGCTAAAGGAATACCATATGGTTGAAATGGAGGCCTGTGCTACTGTGTCCTGTTGTTTTGTAAGTATTCAGGCAACACAAGGTGGCCAAGAGAATTTTTATATTTTGTAATACAAGTCACTGTTGTGTCACTTCCAGATCTTTTTTAAATGTAACAAAAAGATATCTCTGTGTTACTTAATTTCAATAAATGGGAAGCACAGTTACTTTTTTAAAAAAGAGGGTTGGTCCTTTTATGGCAACTTTGTAAACAGTAGAAAAAAACACTAGAATGATAACTGTAACTAATCACTTTAACAAGTAACTTCTCAACCTCCGAGTCCAATGCATCAAGAAGGCAACAGAGTGACAGAAGGGACTTGACTTGATCATGCTCTGAACTTGGTGATTGGAAATAAATAGGCTCATCATGAGTGAAATATTTCTATTGGGAACTGAGATCAGCTGAGTGATCTGCTTCATTTCAGTAAAAGAATGATTAACAGCACAGATTTTAAAAAACTATGAAGCAGCATTCCTTAGGTATTAGCAGAGATGGTACAACCATACTCTTCTTTTAATTACCAAGATGTTGCTTTCAAGTATTTGGAATTCGTTGTTGTTGTTCATTCGTTCAGTTGCTTCCGACTCTTTGTGACCTCATGGACCATCCCACGCCAGAGCTCCCTGTCAACTGTCACCTCCCCCAGCTCCTTCAGAGTCAAAAGTATTTGGAACACTCAAGAAAATGATAAAATACAAAATATTAGTCATATTATCAGGAAGCAGAATGTGAACAGCCTACTCTTCCCAGCAACCGTAGGCTCACTATATATATATTGAAATCTGCTCATATGATGCTAGGCCCAAATAATTGACCAAATGACAGTAAAGAATATTGTTCCTTTTATATATATATAAAGAGTATATAAAAGGAACAATATTCTTTACTGTCATTTGGTCAATTATTTGGGCCTAGCATCATATGAGCAGATTTCAACTTCTAGTATTTTAAATGGTGGAAGAGACTTTTTATTTTTCCACTCTATACCAAGTAGGTGTGTAGCTGAACGTTGACAAAATCCAGTTAGCTTCAGAAACTGGGAGGCTAATTCACTTTTAGAACTTCCTTTAGCCACGGGCTTCCTTGAAGTTAACTGGAATTTGGCAATGTCCATGCCACACACCTACTAGGACAGCCTTGGCCTAAATGTCCCCAAGGTACCAGATCCCATTTATCTTGGAAGCTAAACAAAGTTAGCTCTGGTTACTACTTAGATGGAGACTGCTAATAAGCAGACTGGCAAAACCACCTCTGAGTATTCCGTGGTTAAGAGAACCCTATGAAATTCATGAGGCTGCCGTCATTCAGCAGGCAACTTGAAGGCATATACTTACACAGGGCTGCTTCCCCAACCTCTCACCCTCCAACTATCTTCAGTTGCAACTTCCAGAAAACTACAGCCAGTTCCCCAATTTCTTCTGTTTAGATCCTTGGTTGAGGAAAACAAGCCAAGAGATCATTGTGATGAACATATCCAACTATCTTCCATGCAAGTCAGTTCTTTTAGGACCTCATCACACTAGAGAATGAATCCATTGAAGAAGAGGGAAATTGGGGCTTCCAGATGATGCTTAACTGCAACCCTTATGTGAGTTTGGTGAAGTAACTTTTTGAATGACAGGCTCCAAGAATTCTGCAACTAGTTTAGGGATCGGCAGCCAGGTTACTAACTGGAGTGCCATAGAAGGAGAGAACCACTCCCATGTTACGGCAGCACCACTGGCTGCTGGTCCGCTTCCGGGCTAAATACAAAGTGCTGGTTATTGCCCACAAAGCCCTACATAGTTTGGGCCCAGACTATTTGAAAAACCACATCTTCACATACAAACCAGAACGAGCACTGCAGACTGTGGAGGAGGCCCTTTTCTTGATCTCACCCGTCTCAAGCGAAGTTGGTGAGAACGAGAGAGGGGGCCTTTTCCATGGCCTCTCCCTGCCTCTGGAACTCCCTCCCTCAAGAACTAAAAATGGCCCCTTCTCTCCTCTCCTTTAAAAAGCTTTTAAAGACCTACTTGTGCAATCTAGTTTATGGAGAGGAGGAGGATTAACATACTTTATGCACATCCTGGCCTTAACATCTGATACCTACCTCAGCCTGCTGATGTTGATAGACTATATTATGCTTTTAATGTATTGTGTTTTAATTGATTTGACTTCTTGTGTCATATTATGTTTATCTAGTTTATCCTTGGTTAATTTCAGTTGTTTAAAAGTTATATTTAGTTTATTTTATGTTATGTTTTGTCTTTATTGTTATATGTTTGTTTGTTTGTTTGTTTTTTTGTTTTTGTTTTTTTTTTGCATTGAATGTTTGCCATTTTGTTAATACTTTGGAAACCGCCCTGAGTCCTTTTGGGGAGAGAGGGTGGATTTTTTAAAAAGTGTTGTTGTTGTTGTTGTTCAGCCACCATGTCAATGTTACAAAAGTATGTTTACAGGACCCCAACGCAGCCAGCATAACTAGTGGTCAGAAATGATAAAAGTTACACTCCAACAACATAGGGATTGCTTGCCCTTATGGTGAGGAATCTCAGATGACAAAAGTGAGAGTGCAGCCTTTCCCAGCCATTTCCTCATCCTGGCTGGACCTGATGGGACTTGTGATCCAGACGATTTGGATGGTAGATGGTAGATCTGCATAGTCAAAGCAATAGTATTCCCCATAGTAACCTATGGATGTGAGAGCTGGACCATAAGGAAGGCTGAGCGAAGGAAGATAGATGCTTTTGAACTGTGGTGCTGGAGTTCTGAGAGTGCCTTGGACAGCGAGAAGATCCAACCAGTCCATACTCCAGGAAATAAAGCCCGACTGCTCACTGGAGGGAAGGATATTAGAGGCAAAGATGAAGTACTTTGGCCACCTCATGAGAAGACAGAAAAGCTTGGAGAAGACAACGCTGCTGGGGAAAATGGAAGGAAAGAGGAAGACGGGCCAACCAAGGGCAAGATGGATGGATGGCATCCTTGAAATGTCTGGCTTGACTCTGAAGGAGCTGGGGGTGTTCTGGTGTGGGCTGGTCTAGGAGGTCACAAAGAGTCGGAAGTGACTGAAGGAATAACAATGTTGTGAAAAGTGATTGGTAGTTACAGTCTCATTGGTGTTCAACACAGTGAAGTTCCTTAGTTATAATATTGGCACTATTGCTACATAATAGTTTCCAGGCTGAGTCAGAAGAGGAGCGAGGTGTGCCCAGGCTTGCTTAGGAAGCCCATGCCACACTCGTGCACACTTTCTCCCTGGTGCCAGCTTCACCCTTAATGGGCGCTTCCACCTGCCTTGGCCCCGAGTGTGCTGGCGAGTGAGTGAGTGAGTGCGTGAGTGCTCGCTCGTGCTGCCCACCCCTCTGGCTCTCCTCCACCCGGCAGGGCGCTTCCTTCTCCCAGAAAACCTCTTTGCTTGCGAGTGGCAACCATTTTCCGTAAACCAACGGGGTGACTGCAATGGCCTTGGGCCCCAAAGACGGCCACCTCCCACCCTGGTCTCTCTACTATTAGCATCTGGATGTACACACTCCACGAGGAAGAAGAGTTTGGCTGAAGATGAGGCCATTTTAGAATATATCTTATTTATATTAAGTGTTCCTCAGCAGGCTGCACACGGAGGTCTGTCTGTCTGTCTGCGGGGGATTTCAAGGTAGAGAGACGGGGGAGGGGGGGGAGAAAGGGGTTCTTTGCAGCTCCCCAGAGAAAGGCGATTGAGTTGGGGGGAAGCTGATGCCCTCGTTGGCTCGGCTCAGCTGGCAGCTCTTAATGGCCGCTTGCATTGCAGGTTGCAGCGCGGTGATATGGAGGAGGAGAAGGGCGCGGGGGGGGGGGGGCGGATACGGCCGACTGCATCCACAAGCGAAGGAGCCGCGGGTGGAAGAAAGGGAGGGAGGGAAGAGGAAGGCCTGCCGCTCCTGCCCCGTGTCAATGCGACTCCCGGGGAGAAGAAGTGGCAAAAGGAGGGCGGAAAGGAGGGGGGAGAGGCCTGGGCCGCGGATAAAGGGGGGAAGGGGCTCTGCTCTGACGCCAAGTTGTGAAAGCACAGGCTGGGGCTGCCCTCTCCCTCCCTCCCTCCCTCCCTCCCTCGTAATCGGAGGCGGGCGCACAGAGATAAGAAGCAGCCCCAACTCCCCCCCCATAAAAACGCAAAGGGGGGGGGGGGTTCTCTTTCTTGTTGGCCCTCGAGTCTCGCTGTGGAAACGGGGCGCCGGTCTTTAGGGCCCAAAAGGAGGCAAGCCTCTCCCCCATTTGGGTTTGTGGAGCAGCTCAGAAAGAGCGAGCCTCTTTCCAAGCCAAGCTCCGTCTTGGAGGAGCGAGTTTCTTAGGCCATCACGGTCTCCCTTCCAGCCCCAGCCGCCTCTTTCCCCGTCCTCACGGCGAGGGCTTCTGGGAGCGGCCTGCTCCTCCTGGACCTGCCTTTCGCAGCCAGGCAAAAACAAGGCTTGGCCTCCCTTCCAGGGCCGGCTCCTAGCGCCATACATAAGCCAGCCATTTGTCTTAGGAGACGTCGGTGCCCCCTCCCCTGAAGAACGGGCGAGGGAGGGGCGCGCCTCGGAGCGGGAGAGCAGAGAGGGGGCAGGCTGGCTTCTCTGCCGGCTGGGCCATTAAGGGCCAAGGTGACCTGTTTTGTACGCCCCCCCCCCCGTTTGGGCGGGAAGAGAGGGGCGGCCTGCGTCCTCCCCAGGCCAGCAGCCGCAGAGAAGAAGCCTTCCCCGTCCTGCGTGTGCGGGGTGGGGGCTCCCACCGCGTGGCCGCCCTCCCACCCAGCCACGCACGCCTCCATATCCACCACCGTGACACAGTCGGAGGGCCCCCTTGGGCTGGTGGTCACGGGGGCGAGCGGGTGGGTGTCCGCGGGTGGGCGAGCCCCACAGCCACCATCTTGGCTCGCTCCTGCTCCTTGCTCTTTGCAGCGATGGCTGAGGAGCCCGACTAGGCCTGGCCTCGCTGGGGGAGCCCTTGGTAGGGAGTGACTGTGTTTGGAGCGCCTTCGTGGGGAGGGCGAAGGGAAGGGGCCGGGCTGGGAGGGCAAGGGAGCAAGCCGCGGCGCCATGTGCTGCGTGTGGCTCCGGGCAAGCGAGCAGCGAGGGAGAGGGAGAGGGAGAAAGGCCTTCTTCCCCAGCCGGCCCTTGAAGGCCCTTTCGTTGGGCAGCACTTGCAGGGAGGTGCCGCAACCGCTAGGGGGCAGCGGAGAGCACAGGGGGGCCTAGGATGGATGGATGGAGGGGGGAGACGAGTCGGCGCGCGAGGACGGCCGGGCGCGCGCGCGCGATGATTGGACAGCGAAGAGTTGGCTGCAGCTGCAGAGGCTGCTGCAGCTGAACCCCAAGAGTCAGCCAGTCATTCAGGGAGCGCGCGGATGAGTGCGTGCGCGCGCCAAGTCGCGGAGGCGCTCTCTCTCTCTCGCTCTTGGCTTTCTGGCGCGCGCAGCGGGGCCGCGCGGGCGAAAGGGAAAAGGAGCGAGCATTCGGCTGGAGAAGGAGCTGGGAAGGGGGCCTGAGGAGCCAGGCCGGCTCTTCTCGCCTCCATTTGGCCCCGGCGGCAAGGGAAGGGAAAAGGGGGGCAGGTAACCTGCAGGCCTGACTTCTTTTTTTCTTTTCAAAAAACAACCCCCAAACCTTCCCCTGCTGAACAATTGCACTTCAGGTTGCAAAGACGCCTGCAAAGCACCTCCTCGTCGTCGTCGTCCTCCCCGCAGGAAATAGGGGTGGGGGTCCCCTTGTCACCCAGTGCAGTCGGGCCTAGTGCAGAGGCCGGGTGGCGGCAAGGGGGAGAGGGGTGGCTGAAAGGGCCAGAAGCCTTTGCTTGCAGCAGCTGCGGCGTTCGGGGGAGAGAGGCGAGGCCAGGCGAGGCGGGGAAGGAGCGGGAGCCGAGCCAAGGCGGCCAGGCCAGGCCTGCTCTTGCTCGGCAGGATGAAGGCTGCGCTATTGTGAGGGCAACCCTGGCTTGGGGAGACCTGGAAGAAGGGCTAGGTAGGTCGTTACGTTGGCTTTCTTGGGGGGAGAGGGAGAGGAGGAGCCGATGTTCTCTCCTCAAGAAAGCACACTGCTGGGGGCAGGCTGCGTGCGGCCTCCCTGGGCCAGGAACCGTGCGCCGGGCCTCTGCTGCCGCTGCGGAGGAGGAGCAGGAGCAGCAGCCCCAGCAGCAGCAGTAGTAGCAGCAGCAGCGGCTGCCATTTTGGAGACCAAGGCCCTGGAGGCTCTGCCTGACCCCATTGTTGCTGTGTTTGCTTCACAGGTTGATGCCCGCCCTGCAGGATGGATCAGGCCTGCGAAGTGAGCAGGAGGGGCTGCCTGCCCGCCTTCACCCACCCTTTGGCATTAGAGGCACCGCAGGAGGATCAGAAGGCGGAGGAGGAGGAGGAGGCGAGGAGTGGGGGGGAGGGTCGCAACCCTAGTAGCCCCCGGCTGAGCCGTGGCCGCAGCCTGCTGCGCTTGCCCCCCACAATAGTGCCTATGGCGGCCTGCGAGGGCCTGGACCCCTCCTCCCCTTCCTACATTCCCCTGCGCAGGCTGCAGGACCTGGCCTCCATGATCAATGCTGAGTATCTCAATGGCTCAAAAGATGGCTCTGATTGTTTGCAGGAACCGGAAGGCAGAGGCAGTTCGTCGGAGGAGGACGAGGACAACTATTTCACCCACCGGGACTCGCCACGGCTCCTGGATTTCAACAGCCTCGCTCCTTGTTTGGATGAAGGCGAAGGAGAGATGGATTCTGAGGCATCCTTCTTCTCGGCAGCAGAAGAACATACGGAGGAGGAGGACATTCAGTTCCTGATGGAAAAGCGAGCAGCGGCCATCTGCAGCACGAAGGCAGAGCCCCAGAGCAGGGCAGAACGGATTCAAGACACCCAGCAAAGGGCTCCTGTCAAGATCAGGCACAATGAGACAGTTTCGGGCCTGTTTCCAACCCCTGTCCTTCCAGAGCGAATACAGAGTAACTCTGCTGCAGGAAGTAAACATGAGAAAGTAGGCATGTACTCCATGTATTTGCCTGGAAATACAGAACGGAAAAAAGAAAAGCAATGCAGCATGACAAAGGTATCTGAGATGGAAGATCCAGGCCAGAGTCCCGCCACACTTGGAAACTTGATAGAAAGACTTGAAGCATCAGTTACTTCAAAATCACCAGCAACAAGAATTCCAGCTGTAAGCAGTTTTGGGGTATACATTAAGATCTCTCCTGATTTATTTATGGGGAAATAAGTTTGACATGGTGTTCTTCTGACCTCTTACTGATGCGGAGAAGCATGCGAGGGAGGAGTTAGCAGATTGCAGGGGTCACTTGGTTAGGTTTCTGTTTACAAACCAGAAGTGAAGTTGACTTGGGCAAGGCTTAAAAGTACAACAATTTAGCACTCACAAAATTTCCTTTTTGAGTTTTGATTATTAAATTGGGGGTTTCAGCCCTGCTAGAAATCTAAATTGTGATTAGGACAGAAAGCATTCTGTTGTTCACATTAAGCAAATTCTGAATTACGATTTTAAAATGACAGTAAAATGAATATTTTTTGTTTTTTTCAAAAAATTCCTATACTTCTAGATTTCTGGATTTGCAAGATTGATAGGACTGCTTAATACATTTTAAATTGCATCCGTTATCTATGACTTCTCACTTGTTGCACACTTCAGGCAGTTCCTTCTAGTTGTCAATACATATTCATAATGCACATGTGTTATGGTGTAAACTAACGTGATGTAAAAAGGTGTTTTAATTTCCTCTTTCAAAATGTGTGTCCTATGGGCAGAATGTCATGTGTGAAGTGACTGGTTAGAGAATAAGTTCTACTAGCAAAATGAGACTAGTAGAAAAGTTTCATGTGAAAATCCAGGTGATCAGCTTCTAGCTTCCATTGCTTTTTCTTTTGCAGATTTAGTCATGCATGCAGAATAATATTTCAAATGTGTGGTTGCACTCTTAAGAGTGGTTGACTATAACAGAAGAACTGGGGTACGTGGTGACTGTGAGTAGCAGTGGCAGGGTCACTTTGAAATTTGTAGATTTACTTCCGGACTTGTGTAGCATGTAAGTAATGCATATAGATTCACCTCCATGAAAGCAGAAAAAAATGTCTTGGGATTATAGCTTGTGGCATCCCTAAACCATGCTGGGATTATTCTACAGTTATGAGAAATGCTGGTTGGACCCTTTTGTACTATGTGGTGACATACACAAACAATTGTGTACATTATAGTTATATTATTGTAAACTTGTGTTCTCACTTTAAAAAGGTGGCTAATACACATTACTAAAACAAATTTAAAATTATAGCCATTTAAAAAATTACAAAAAATCAGCATCAGGACAGTTTAAAAGGCTGGATTGAAAAATGTTTAGTTTGTTGTAGGTTACATTGAAAAGATGTTTGTTCATTTTTATGATATGTCATTGTTTTATTTAATTATATTAAGACTGATTTGGATGTGATAGAGAACTTCATACCTAAACTGACTCAGCTACATTGTTCATACAGTTGGTCCTCCATATCCACGGATTCAATCATCCATGGCTTGAAAATAATTTTGAATAATTCCCTTGATCTTGCCATTTTGGTATTCCCTATATACAACTATGCCATTGCATATTATGGGGCTTCAGCATCCATGGGTTTTGGTATCCATGGCAGCCCTGGAACAAAACCCCAGTGGAGACTGAAGACCAAGGTATCTGTTAATTCTAGAAGAGAAGTCATGTTAGCCAGTAGAGCAAAACCCAAGCAGAGTTATGGCAGTCTGTTATATCTCGAATGAAGTGGATATGTTGTGTTGCTAATCTGAAGAGATGATGAATTTTCAGAAAAAGTTATGGTCACAAAAGGTGTCACTCAGCTAGAGAAACTATCTAATTAATTTCATGGATTAAGTTTACATGTGAATTAAAATAGGTTGTTCTGGCACAAAGCACCTGTTCTTTTTGCATAATGCTTGCATGGATTGGAGAAGGCACCATATTGAAAGGGGCATTTCTTCCTTTGAACAGTAAAAGGCCTCTTTACCACTCGCCACCTGTCACTTGTGTAATTATGTCTATTGAAGCTATTTTTTCTACAAAAGCAATCATATTATTAGTCTGGGGCATAATCTTAGCTCATTGTATGTTTGTGTGTGTTTAAAAATGATGCCAAAAGGACAAGGAATACAAGAATCAGGGCAGGTAAACACTCAAGTCACTGCTGATGTGTCTTTGTATCCAAATTGTTCTCATTTTCAAACTGTTGGCAATCGAGCAGCCTCTCTGTTTTAAGAATTGCCCAGTCTCTGAAAGATTAAAAAAAAACATAGCTATACTAATTATGGGACTTTTTAAAGACTAGGGAATCATATAATTTCAGTTACTTGCCTCAAATTAATGTCTAATTTTGTCATTTATTGTTGCTGTTTTAATGTCAGCTAAAATCAAGACTTTAGCAAGTTTAGAATTTTAGTATGTACATCATTTCACTACATGGCTTAATATTCTAGCATGCTCCCAAGTGATTACATTTAGCCTCCTAATTTGGGAATAATAGAAGACTAATTGAAGATTAATTGATGACTTCTCACTTTGTGTGCATGAATAAATGAAGAAACTGTGGCTATAAACACAATGCTTTTTGTATCTTGGTGATTAAGTCCAAAATTGCTATCGGTGTCCCATTGACAGATATTGTAAAAAAAACATAGTTCAGTGTGACAAGAGTGTGGTGTAGTGACCCTTGGCCTTGTGTGCTTTCCCCCTCCTTCCCTAAGAGGAGATTTGAGGTTTCTGTTTGGCAATTTAGAATGAGCTGTAGTTTTCCATTTCATCTGATAAAATTGAAAATTATGGTTTGTGCAACTGCAAGAAGTTACAAACTAGGATTGAATTGTGGTTCATAAACTGAGTATGGTGTATGTAAAACACATACCTGGAGAAATTGCAAAATTCTAGTTTGTTTCGAGCTGCAAGCAGAAGTTTTATATCCTTACACATTTGAGTGAGGAAGGAAAGGAGAGGGAGACAGACCTTAAGTTTGCTATGAAGCATTTAAAAACAGCAACTCAGGTTCTGCTGTGGAGTCTGACTCCTGCCATTAGCTCAAAATTGAATCATCGGCACTCTGTAAAGTGTATCACATTAGAATCTATTGGTATGTATAACTAAGAAACACAGCAAATACTTCTCCTTTTTTCCCTTCTAGGTTCATTATTATTCAGTATGACATTACTGTAAGCCCTCCACTTTCATTGGCTTAAGGGCACAGGACCCCTGTGAAAGTGGAAAACACATGATTTTAAAGCACATTTTATTTTCCTGAGAGAACACCTTTCTAGGAATATCTGGATTTTCCATGGCAACTCGGTGGTCCACTTTTGGTGGAAAGTGACCATAGAATAATTCTGGAGAACCTCGAAATTTCAAAAAGAACATGATAATTAAATCCTCTAAAATTTAACCCACAAATCTGGAGGGCTAACTGTATTTAATTTTATATGTTGTTGATGAACTTGATATTGGGGATAAAGAATTGGCATATCATTGCAGCTGGTCCTTGGTTAGAAGAAATGCAATATTGCATGTTGCTAGGAAGATACTTTTTCAGTGTGCCCACTTGAGCCATCTAATATACTCTGGTTTCTCTATTCAGCCATCTAATCTCTGCAGTCTGCTCTGCTCAGATGATTAATACATACTCAATAGACAACCAAGGAGATTTATTTTCATCATATGAAAATCAACTATGCTGCTCCTGGCTACCCATTCTTTTGACATACAGTATGAGTGAGGTCAATTAAAATCATTTCTAAAATCAGTAAAAAATCACTTTAAGATAATTATGCAAAGTATACCTTAGTTAAGAAAACCGTAAGAAATTTATGGAGTTGCCCTAAGTTGACAGGTGGCCTGAAGGCACATATACACAGATGCCTTCTTAACTAGTTATAAATCAACGTGTTGCGATGGTGGGATTAATTAGTGAGTCTGCACTATTATTTAGAAAATGTATGAAGGTTCAGTGGGAAATTTGATTCAAACTATACATATTTAAATGCATTCTTTCTTGAGTGGCTTTGTGTGTTCAAGGCACCTGTCAACGTATGAATTTTACTGTTTTTTAACAGCAAGTTGTGCTCAGTGGTGGTTTTACCAGTTCCATCCTCTGAAATATTGACTGCAGCATCTGGTATTCATTGGCAGTCTGGATTTCAAGTGTTAACCAGAACTGAATTTGCTTTGCTTCCAAGATCAGATATGA